CACTAGTCTATCACCCTTAAATCATTTGAATTAAATTGAAATCAAGAAGCAGTCCGGAACATGTCTGCAGTGAACAAAATTTCAATATAGTGAATTTACCATTTAATGCCTCACACAGAGCAAGGATGCAAGACGCCTGATCTCAGTTAGCTGATGGCTGAACCCCCTGATGCTGACTGACCTCGGGCTGCAAGGCCCAGATTGAGTTCCCCATCCTTCTGAATGGTAGAACTCTGCAACGTTCTATTACAGGTTTCCCACGCCCTTTCTTTAAAGATGTTCAAAGTTGGGAACTCAGAAAAATACCCTTGATGACAACCTCTATCTTTGCAAAGTGGGTCCAAAGACTGGCACAGTCAGGAGGTCTGAGAGTCGGGGGGGCTGTTATGGGGGTTCAGGGGTGCCTGCGTGGCTACCTTCCTGGCACTTGAGCGATGGTGGCTGGGTTGGGAGCAGGCGTGGTTCTCCTTCCCGAGGTGGATCAGGGCCCAGGCTTCCTCCCAGCGCTTTAGCTATGGTGGTTGGGTCGGGAGCCGGCATGGTTCTCCTTCTCGAGGTGGATCGGGGCCCAGGCTTCCTCCCAGCGCTTGAGCAATGGCTGCTGGGTCAGGAGCAGGCGTGGTTCTCCTTCCCGAGGTGGATTGGGGCCCAGCCTACCTCCCGGTGCTTGAGCGATCCCTTGTAATAGATTTTGATTTGGATTTTTTTGTCCTAGGATCTCGAGGTGCATAATTAGGTTTTCATTTGGGATTACTCTATTTATGTGATGTGGCTATTCATGGTTATAAATTTTCCTCTTAGGAAAATTGTGCCTCATAGGTTCTAGTATGTTGTACTGGCATTATCATTTGCAATTCTTATTATTTTTTTTGTACTGGGGATCAAACTTGAGACTTTGCGCTTATGAGGCAGGCGGCATTATCATTTGTTTGTGGGAACTGTCTAATGTCTTCCTTGGTTTATTTTGTGACCCATTGATTGTTCAAGTGTATTGTTTAATTTCCATGTGGTTGTGTGAATTTGTGGTTTTTTAAAAAGATCATTGATTTCTAGCTTCATTGCTCAGTAATCCAATAATATGCATGGGGTAGTTTAAATTCTTTTACATTTATTTATGCATGCTTTGTGGGCTAGTATGTGGTCTATTTTGGAGGAAGCTTTGTGTGCTTCTCTGCTGATCTGCACTCATCTCTGGAACTATTCAGGGTTAAGAGCTGCTGATGTTAACAGTTCTTTTTAATGCCCACACAGTTCTATTCTGCCCACACTATGCAAGATAAGAACTATAGGTAGATATACAGGTTAATCCAAGGGAGGTTTTGTTGGGAAATGTACCATAGCATAGGAGAGTAGTATATTAGAGAAAGCCTTCCTCAACTGATTGAGAAGTATCAGAGAGTGCTGCTTATATGAGTTAAAGTGGGCCATATGTCTGCACTTTTGTACCTTTCAAGGACCGACTTGATCATTTTCATAGTAATGAGGATATGATGGGGGTAAGTGTGGAGTCATCTGGGATGGGTCTGAGTTTTTTTTTTTCTTTTTTGGTATAGGGGATTGAACTCAGGCCCTTGTGCTTGCAAAGCAGGTGCTGGAATGACTGAGCTAAATCCCCGGCCCTGGGTCTGAATTTTAATCCTGCTGTGGCCAAGGAATATATATCTCCTGGAGTAGCAGAGGGTATCTGAGATATTTGTAGTTATCATGGCAATAGTTGGGGGGCACTTTGTGTTGTGCACTTAGCTGCTTGATTAACAACTCTAGCATCTTCCTAAAAATGGCAGAGCTGAAATCTTGATTGCCACCACCTTTGGATCTTTAGGAGGCCTGGCAAAAATGATCATGAAGCCCTGGGGGTTTAGAGATTTTGAGGTCCCAGTCCTTCCCACATCTTTGCTCCATCAAATATGGTTTCCCAATTGGTCTTCCAAGAGAAGTCATCAGCCCCTGTAATGGCCTGGAGAGGGTGAGGGGAATAGCTCCTGTCAGCATGACCTGGAGGATGCCCTGAAGTAAGGCCACCCCTGAGGAGGCAAGAAGGTAATGCATAGGAGGGGCTTAGCAGTTGCCAATCAAGTCACTTTTGGCTGTAAGAAAGAAAAAAGTAGGCATCACAGTTGCTTTTCTTCTTGTGTCAGGAAATACCTGATACCCAAAGTTAAAGGAAGAAAGGTTTATTATTGCTCAGACTTTGTAGAGATTTCAGTCCTGGTTCCAAGGCAGGGTGGCATGGCAGAGAAGAAACTGTTCATGGCAAAGCAGGGCAGGCAAAAGGCAGCAAGCACCAAGTGCCAGCAGTGGCCCTCTTTTTGTCTCTTATATTCCATCCAGGCTACTCACCCTTATGGGAGTAGTACTCACACCCAGGGTGGGGCAACCTTAATCTCAGCATCATACTATTAATCCAAGCATCACATTCTTTTTTTTTTTCTCCAAGCATCCACATTCTTAATTCCACACTCCCTAGATCCAGCTATGTCCAAAAAGCCCCACCTATGACCACATGATGCTTTGAGGGAACATCTAGATACAAACTGTAACTTTCTGCCCTTGGCCCCCAAAACACTCATGTATATCTTTTTGTGCATAAAGCATTAGTCCATCTATAAGAGTTGCCAAAGTCCTAACAGTTTCAGCATTGGTTAAAAGTCCAAAGTATCTTCTGAGATCCTAGCTGTGAGCCCCTGGACAAATGAAAAAAGAAACACTTCTAACATACAACTGCACAAGATAAACATTACACTGCAAAAGGCACAAAGATAGAAAGGAATAGGTCCAACACAAGTCCAAAATCCAGCAGGGCAAGTAAGTCCTGTAATGTTATGTCCAGTAACTTGTGCAATCTCTGGCAAGATGTGAACTCCAAAGCGCTTGGCAGAACCATCTGCTCCTATAGCATTGCTGGTAGTTGTAGTTCCCATGTCTTCTCTTTTGGCCCAACTTTGCTGACTCCTTGCAGCTTTCCTCAGATGATCCATGTTCCTGGCTTCTCCAAACTTCTGGCCATACTGTCAGCTTCATACTCATAGCTTCACAAACTATCCTCTCAGGAGCACTCTGCCTGGCCTCCCAGATCTAAAGAAATCTGGGTGAGGGCTGGGGGATTTAGCTCAGTGGTGCTGCCACCTGCTTTGCAAGTACAAGGTCCCAAGTTCGATCCCTGATTCCAGAAAATAAACAAAGAAAGAAATCTGGGTGGAAGCCTTCCTGTTCCCACATCTCTTGCATTCTGCATACTCCTATAACCAGCACCACATGGATGATGCCAAGGTTTTCTGCCAGCTAGAGGAGTAGCTAGGCTTTCTTCTCTTTTGGTTGTAGGGGTCAAGTGCCTGGACTTCTGAGTACTCTGAAACCAATCCAGAGGAACAAATTCTCTAGGCCACCACTATTTTGGGACTCTTTTCTCAAAGCAGTCTTTCACCTTTGTAACCTTGAGGCTGCAAAGGCTGGAGACCTGTTGTTTCTTGTTATGTCTTCAGGCTGTCTTTTCCAGTGTTCTGGTCCTTCTCAGCAACCCAGTTCTCCTCTGTTCTATCTTTGCAGTCTGAAGCTTTACTGGAGCTTCCTTTCTGGCCAAACTCACAATGTTTTAAATCATTCTGCTGGGCCTTTTGCTCAGATCAACATAGATCTGGCTAAAACCCTCAACAGTAGCCATGCCACTGCCTCCACATTAGATTATCTTGAAATTTCTTCTGCAAGATTTATTAGTCCAGGGCCAGGTAGTTAGCTCAGTGGTGCCACCACCTGCCTTGAAAGCTCTAGGTCCTGAATTTGATCCCCAGTATCAAAAACAAACAAATGAACAAATGATTTGTTAGTCCACTGCTTTTAATTTCAGTTATAGGCAAAGTCTCTGGACAAGAGCAAAATGCAGATGAACTTTCCATCAAAGGGTAACAACATACATGGTCTGAAGTCCAAAGCCAATATACTTTTTTTTTGTTCTTTTTTTGTACTGGGGATTGACTTCAGGACCTTGTGCTTGCCAGGCAGGCATTGCACCACTGAGCTAAATCCTTGGCTTTTCACTCCTTGTTCTTGAACTGAAACTTCTTGAATCTGGTCTTTACCAGCTGCATTTCTATCAGCATTCTAGTCTTGTGAACTCTCACCAGAATCTCTCATTAAATACAGCTTAAAGCATTCCAGGGCTGCTTCTTCAGCATCTCTAAACCTTTCTAAACTCTTTCCACAAGCCAGTTCCAAAGGCTTCTGAACCACGTGGCCATGTAACATCACAGCAATGATCCCACTCCTGGTACCAAGATCTGTCTCACATACTTTTCTCACTGGTGAGACAAAATACCTGATACCCAAAGTTAAAGGAAGAAAGGTTTATTATAGCTCAGAGTTTGTAGAGATTTCAGTCTTGGCTACAAGGCAGGTTGGCATGGCAGAGAAGAAAAAGTTCATGGCAAAGCAAGGCAGGCAGAAGGCAGCAAGCAGCAAGTGCCAGCAGCGGCCTTCTTTTTGTTCCTTTTATTCCATTCAGGCTGCCTCCTCTTCAGGCAGGAGGCACTCATATCCAGATTGGGGCACACTTTATACCAGCATTATACCATTAATTCCAGCATCACATCCTTAATCCCAGCATCACACACCCTAGGTTCAGCCACCTTTGAAAAGCCCCATCTATGACTATATGAGGCTTTTGGGAGACACTAGATACAAACTGTAACAGTAGGGTTAGATCAATTTTCTGTCTTATAAGTCACTACCATGGCGACCTTACTAGATCTGGGCATAGGTGCTGGAGTTGGCTGTTTTTTGTTTGTTGCTTCTTCTTAAACCTATTGGTGCCAACTTACATCTGCCATTCTTGTATTCATTAAAGGTCTCTTTACTCCTTGCTAGCCAACCCCTCATTAGAAAAATCCCTTACTATAGTTAATTATTCTTTATATTAAGCATTCTACTGTTCAAATTACCATGTATTTGTGCCTCACAGTAATAGCTACATATTTCAGGTAATAGTTTGTCTTTCTTTTCCACAGGGACTCAGTATCACCACTACCTGCCTCATCCATGGGCATGGCATCCCAACTACGATAGCATCTCACCAGGTGACCGACATCCCAGAGGAGGAGATGCCAGAGGAGGTGCCCAATCATGGAGCCACTAACTGTATCATGCGTTTAAGGTTTAAGCAAATTTGACTTATGAGTAAAATAAGTTACACACTGATAATTACCATAAGATTTTATTGATCCAAAAGTATTTCTTCATCAAAAATAAGATGTTGGGATGGGGATTTAGCTCAGTAGTACCACCACCTGCCTCACAAGCACAAGGACCTTTCGATCCCTGGTACCAAAAAACCAAAGCACAAAAAAACAAAAAATAAGATGTTGTATAACTCTAGTTGTAATCATCACCATTATGTGATGTTAAATATATATCCCTTTATTTTCAAACTAAAACTTTCCGAGAAGTCATGATCCTTCTATTTTTCATTTAAATTATTTCATTTTTCAAATATCTTTGTTAGAGATAAAAAGCATGATCATTTAAATGGGTTAATCTCCATTCCTTAAAAAATTAATCTTTAACATGTTAAAAGATGGTGGTTGGGACATAAAAGTGCACATATGTAAACAATCACTTTTGTGTAGATATAATTCATCACATCCCAAAACCAGAAATGATTTTCCCCATACAAATTATAAGTGCTTCTAAAGTACATATGTGCTTTCTCAAGATGCTAAGGCACTCTGGAACAAAACATAGTGGTTGTTTCTTTGGCTTAGAGCTTGGCTTTCTGCTTAAAAGTCTCCTTGAGCCTCTTGACAGTGGAAATATCCCTGACTCCCTCAGGCCAGTTATCATGATCTGTTAAGTGGAAAACATCATGTCACTGCAAATTCATTAACTTCCTTTGTCCTTAGTTTCCACTCAATCCTCTAGTTGTTGTCCCTGATTCATACACACAAGAAAAAGAAAGAAATCCTTAGGACAAATGGCAAAGGTTTTGTAAAGGGTCCTGGATTTGAATCACTAAGTTTTCCTAATTTTGGGAAGCTACTCTTTTAAGCCTCAATCTTCTTGTCTACTAAGGGGAATAATAACTATCTTTAAAAGTTGCAAGACTTAAATGTGACACCATTTCTTACTGTCTGGCTTACTATAAACATTCAATAAATAGTATCGCTTAACCCCTCAATATTCAGTGTTTCATTTTTGGAACACCTATAACAATGGAACATAATAAAATTTCTTTCCTCTTCAAATTCCTGTTCCTTGAATTTTTCTCGGTATCGTACATGACTTTTATGCAAAAAATATAAAATTAAAATCTTTGGCATAAATGGGTTAATAATTTTAAAATAATTTTCTAACTTCACACAAGCTTCTCTTAGTTGTCACCCAGCATATAGTCCTCATCACCTTTTTCCAATATTATCCATTTCAATTGGAGAATCCAAGAACATCTGGGGAAGTGACCCCTCCCCACAAGGAGGGGAGTGATGGCACAGGTGAGACAAATTATAGGTCAGTGCTCTGCATCACCCTGGCTGTGGTTATTGGAGGAACACTGGCACCTGTGAGCTGGTCTAACTAAAGCAGCAGTTCTCAGAATTTTTGAAGACATTCTAGAAAAAGATCATTCCCCTCTCCTCACTCACTGACCTTCTGCATGTGAGCAAAGACAAGCAAGTGGCCTAAGGAGTAGCAGGCAACCATTCAGCACTCAGGAGAGAGAGGCAGTCTTGAGAGAAAGCCCACATCATACAGCAGAGGAAGGGGCAGCCAAGTTTCTGTTCAGCCATTCTCACACTCTGCCAATCTGGAAACTCCACATTGAAAGGCTGGGCACTTTGCCAAAATTCAGGGAAAGCATATTCTTTTTTTTTTTTTTTTTTTTGTGGTAGCAGGGGTCAAACTCGGGACCTTGCACTTGTGAGGCAGGTGGCAGGACCAAGGAAAGCATATTGTTAAAGGTGGATGGGCTACTTTCTCTCAAAACTTGAATACCTAGTATTGATTAAAAAGTGTTCATACTAAAAAAAAAAAAAAAGTCATTGCACTGGAGACCCAGGAAGCAGCTATCTGAAATTTTTCTTTCTCCCTCTCTCCCTTTCCTTTTTTTTTTAAAGAAAAACAATGCAACTCACCATAACAAAATACTGGTTCAGGAAGTAGAAAGGTTCTCTCTTACCCTTACTCTTTTAAATACTTCTGAAACAATATTGCATATCCATGTGGACATTTTTGTCTTTCCAATTCAGGTTTTTATAACTATATCAATGTTATCAGTAAATAAATATATAAAGGAGGGAAAATAAGTAAAATGAAAGTGCTATTGGGCCAGGGATTTAGCTCAGTGGCACCACACCTGCCTCACAAGTGCAAGGTCCCGACTTAGATCCCCAGTAACAAACAAACAAACAAAAAAAAGCGCCATGCTAATCATTTACTAAGGCATAGAGGATCTCTTTGACTAGACTGTCAGTACAGAGTAGGTTCAATCTGGGTCCCTAATATAAAATTCAGATACACAAGGGTGATATCAACTATGCAATTATTTAGTGGTAGCCACTTAATCAACTATCTTTAACAAATAGAAGGTCAAAAAATATTTTAGTTTATATCATTTTTCTTAGCTTTCTAAGAAAACTGATTCAGCATTTTTAGCATAGTTTTTAGCTTCTGTGGATTTGTTTTGTCATATGTAAAATTAGGATGTAGAGGCTGGGCGTGGTGACACTCGCCTGTAATCCCAGCCCTTGGGAAGCCAAGGCAGGAGAATCGCCATGAGTTTGGGGCCATCCCAGACTACATACTGAGTTCAAAGCCAGTCCAAACTACACAGTGAGACCCTGTCTCTAAAAAACAAAAAACAAAACAAAAAACAAAAAAACGATGTAGGAATGTTGGAATTTTTAGGACTCTTCCAACCTCAAAGGATTCCAGTTGAGCTAAGAGCACACATGTGCGCACACACGCATCACATAAAAAAATTATTTGTGTGTAATATCAACATCTGATGAAAACTATAAGAGTACCTCTTATAAATTAAAAAAGATTCAATTTGGCAGTTTCATCTTGTTAAAATTAAGATATATCCCCCAAAGATGGCAAAGTACAACATATGCTTCCTCCTCACCTAAGCAGTCCTATTCTTCTGTTCAGATATGTGAGGCACTTATTGGAGGGAACAAAAGAGGACTTAATATATGGCAACCCCTTGCCCTTTTCTATGACTCTGTACATCCACACCCATAGGGCTATTACTTAAAGTTTCAAATTCCAACAACTTATGCACATAAAAATCCTTTCTAAATAAACAATAATAAATATATTTACATATTTTCTGTGACTAGAAATTTTTCCTTCAAAATGCTATCATCAAGCTAAGCATTTAGCTCCTAAGGAGCCACATAAGAAATTCTGGGCACCTGAACATGAAAGGCATGTGGTGAGTGACTACTCACTCCCTGGTTGCTCACCCGGTACGTCGTAACTCTGAGTGTACAGTGACTGGCCCCCGTCCACATTTACCAACTGTCCAGTGACAAAAGAAGCTGCAGGCGATAGCAGGAAGCAAACCACAGAGGAGACCTGGAAGTAGGAGCACACATGCACATATGAAAGCAAGGGGTCCTCTCCATTTCTAGGAGCTCCATATTCCTAAGTAAACCCATTTCATATCCGAGAGTCGTAATGTGAATCCTTACGTGTGCACCATAATCTGACAGCACATGGACAGCCTCGCTTTTCTAGTTGAGCCTGATCGAAGTCTGGTCAAGGTGGCAAGATGTGAAGAAGCTTTACACAGTGTTAATGTGAAGGGGCTAGCAATTTCCCTTGGTCATGACCTTGATGAACAGGGTGCTAAATCTCTGCTGTTTCCCACTTCAAACAGTTCAGTTCTTTCCATACCATTCATCATCCACTGCAACCGCATTTCGATCACTGCCATGTGCCTTTTTTATTTTTGTCCATGAAATAGTCAACAAGTCTATGTAGCAATAATTGGCATGCTGATTTAGCCAGTCTAGGGTCCAGCTGGGATCAGCAACACAGATGGCAGTTTTCTACAATAAGGACTTTGGAATCCCACTGTATCCCCTAAAAACTTATTTATTGATGAGTTCAGCAACACTTACTGCCAAAACCATACAGAAACAGAGAATTTCTTTTACTGACCTTAAAGGAACAGAAGCAGTTTTTTTGGATGGTGATGATTCTAAATATCTGATCCTTCTGACTTTCTCGGGGACTGTCACAACAGAAGGCAACCCACTGATAAACAGGCCAGCCAATGGCCTGGTCTGTGATTTCCCCCCACCTACAGACCCAGGATACAAGGTGGCAGGGGTCAAACTCTTTGTTCTGCACTTGACTGTAGCTACCATTAATTATCTGCCCTTCCTTCCTTTCCAGACTCTGAAGAAATCACCTACATTAGCACTTCTCAAAATGTACTGGTCAAAGTCTGTGTGTTCCTAAGAGCTTTTCAAGGTCAAAACTATTTTCATAATAATGCTAACCGCTACTTTGTCTTTTTCACTGTGGACATTTATACTGATGGTGCCAAAGCAATGAGAGGAAAAACTGCCAATCCTTGGCACGAATCATGACAGATGCACAAGACTGTGTGAGGTGTCATACAGCAGGGGATGGGTGAGAGTTAGCAATTTCCCTTTGTCATGTCCTTGATGAAGTAGCAAAAAGCATTAATTGGCCGGGCGTGGTGGCACACACCTGTAATCCCAGCACTTGAGAGGCTAAGGCAGGAGGATCAGTGTGAGTTCGAGACCAGCCTGGGCTACATAGTGAGTTCCAGGTCAGTCTCAACTACACAGTAAGACCCTATCTCAAAACAAAACAAAAAAGCATTAATTGTATGAGGTCTCAACCATGAAGGGCACATCTTTTTAATGTTCTGTGTGATAAAACAGGAAGCACATTGTCTTACTTTCTCATTGCTGAAACACAATACCCATCACCTGCAACTGTAAGGAAGGAAAGATTTATTTTGGCTCACAGTTTGTAGAGGTTTCTACTGGCTCCAAGGCAGGGTGGCATGGCAGAAAAGAAAATGGCTTAATGCATGGCACTTGGAGCAGACAGATCAAGGGAGGAGGGAAGAGATATATCCTTCCAGTTCATGCCCCCAGTGACCCACTTCCTCTGACCAGGTTTTAACTACCAACATCACACTGAGTATCACACCCTCATGATCCAATAACATCCCCAAAGCCCTACCTGTGAGTGCACAATGCTTTGGGTAGGGGGGACATCTAGGTATAAACCATAACATATGCATACACACAAAGCTCTTCCATTGTGTAGAGTACGGTTCTTGTCTCAAGGAAAAAGAATGTGCCATTGAACTGTGAACTGAACTTGCTACCTTTTCATGAAATAATATTTTTTTTACTTGAAAGAATGGCACTGTGTCTGTTCACATTTGGGTATTTGGCAGATTTTTTTTTTTTTTCCAAAAACAACCTTAGGGCTGGGGATTTAGCTCAGTAGTTGCACCACCTGCCTTGCAAATACAAGGTCCCGAAATTGATCTCTGGTACCAAACAAACAAATAGACAAACAAAACAAAATAACAATGTGAGATTATTACTTTAAAGAAAAATAAGTGAGGCCAGGGATTTAGCTCAGTGGTGCTGCCATGTGCCTGGAAAGTGCAAGGTCTCAAGTTCAATCCCTGGTACCAAAAAAAGAAAAAGAAGGCTGAGGATGTAGCTCAGTGGTTCTGCCGCCTGCCTTGCAAGTGCAAGGGCTCGAATTCAGTGCTTGGGATAAAACAAAAACAAACACAAAAACAAAAAACAAACAAAAAAGGAAAAATAAGTGGTGATATTTTTTGTCAATAAGATGTGAACTTTGTAGTGAAAATCAGGATTTTTGAAAACTTGCACCTGCCACTGTGAGCTTGACAGTTTCCTGATACATAAACTTTTCTTAAGAGGTGAGCAGAGGTATTAACAGATGTGATCTTTCCACAGTGGATAGTTAACTGTGTCAACATTTAGAGGATCCACATAACTCAGAATCAGTATTTTCCAATGTACTAGTGTCTGACACTCCAAAATCATACACAGGTGAAAGATCTAAAGTTTGAAAAAGAGAATAATACAATGGTACAAAAAGTTCACTGACATGGTTTCAGATTCCACCTTGCAACTAATCCTTAAGAAACTATTACTTCTTGAATTTCAAAAAAGAATAGCATGATTGTCTGCAAAGGCTATTAAAATACTCCTTTGCTTTGAAACTGTAGAGCTTCAAAAAGCCAGATTATATGCTTTAATCAAAACAACAGATTGTAAGAAATTGAATGCAGAAGCAAAAGTGAGAATCCAGCTGTATAGTATGAAGCTGTATATTGAAAATATTTGTAAAGGTGTCAAACAAATACTAAAAATATGCCCTGGAAATGTAGCTATTTTTATTTAAAATATTATTAATGTTAATATGTAATGTTTGTAGTCTTACTTATAAATGAATAAATAAATATTTCTTACATCTCAACTTCTAACATGGCAACTACAGATCATATAATTCACATAAACAAAAAGTATTCTATGAGAATAAAAATTAACCATATTATATCTTTGGTTAAAATCACTAAAAATCTACATTTAGTTTTCAGAATAAAAATCTAAACATCTCCCTTAATGTGTCAAAGATATGATTTAACAATAGCTTATATTGTTTTTTTGAGCAGAAAACAAGATTTATTGAGTAGATATAGAAGACTACATTCTGCTGAGAATTTAGCTCAGTGGTTCCGCCATCTGCCTTGCAAGTACCAGGACCTGAGTTTGATCCCCGGTACTCCCCACAAAAAAAAAGAAAACCACATTCTACCACACACGGGGAAGGGTATAGCATCTATAGGAGGTCTTTACCCCTTAAGAAAACCTACAGTGAAGTTGCTTTGGGATAAATTTTAACAATGACTCTGGAGAGGAGCCACCACAGAACATGCTTAAAACCAGCTCCCGTCAACCCACAGTGAATATAAGTATGTATAGAATGACAAGAGAAAAGCACAAATGACCAGAGTTGGAATTGTGGTGTGGGTGCCAGGTGAAGACAGCAGTGTTACAGGAGACCGAGCTGGGAAGGGAAACATGTCAGACATCAAAATCCGCCCCAAGACAGGAGGTTGTAACGTTCAAGGGTGAAATAAGGAACATCTCTTCCTTCATTCTGACAACACCAAAACTTGGAGACCGGGCGAGAGGAAAGAAAGTATTTCAGTCCTACAAGAGGGTGAGACTGTGTTGAAAAGGTAGGTAAATGTCAAGATGGCCATTCTGCCTTGCTGTCATGGGCTGTGATGCAGAAATCATTTTCAGTCACTTTCAATTTCTTCCAGAAGGCTCTGAAAAGCATCAGTGTAATTTACGTGAAAGTATAGGGTTTTGCAGTACAGCAAAACAGGTACAGTTAACAGGTAACATGAAAGGGAGACCTGGAAATTATTTTGGAAACTACAAAAGTAAAAAAAGGCCAAGCAATGGATGGGGATTTAGCTCTGTGGTTTTGCCTCCTGCCGCGCAAACTCAAGGACCCTAGTTCAATCCCCAGTACCAGAAAAAAAAAAAAAAAAAAAGAAAAAAAA